TTGTCAAACATCTTTTTTCCATTCCAGTTACTTTCTGTATTAGTATGTTAGTAATGTTCCTTTGAATTTCTGTTAAAAAGTCTCTTCAGGGCACATTCAAAACCGCTTCTTTTACGTGCTGGTTACTTTTCCACTCTCAGTGACGGGAGGGGCTTCCTCTGTTTTTCTCTCCCTCCGGCTTCTTCCCCTCCTCCTTCGGGTCGCTGTTAACTCTTTCAGTTCCTGTGCTATAAGTCGTCTTCCTTTCATGCCATGCCCGGAGATCTCCAGCTTTGAGAATGGTATTAATTTCAATTTCGCTTTTATCCGCTCCCAATCTCTTCGCTGGATTCTCCTCTTCAATTGTTGACTTTTATAAGCGCTCATGAGGCACTTTTCGCTGTCACAATTCAAACTTTTCTTTTCCTTCACAATCCCCGTTGGATTCATAGCTATACACAGTCCAAATATTAAACAGCCGGCACTCACGTTGACACAAACGCCCAGACGGAAGTCCCTCCCTTCTCCTCCGCTTGTCTTTACCCAGCTCCGACATCTTGTTTTTTTATTTTTAGTAAAGTTTTTAAAATGCGCTCCAGGGAAACAAAACCTCTTGCTTATTTTCAAGTACATCAAAGGAAAACATCACTATTCGCTCAGTCCATGCCCCCCCTCTTTTCTTTTTTTTCTTTCTCGCTTATAGAGGATTAACCTCCTCATTTTCCGCTGAAGGGGGGGGGGGGAAACGTTCTTAGTTCATTTTCTCTGTATTTTGACAACTCACAGTTACGCCAGTCTTTTCTTTTCCATTTTTTTCGGATATTCGCTTCATCACTCGGTGACGCCCGGTGGTTCCGCTAAACCCCGTAGAACGGGGTCGCTCACGCAGCAAGGTCCAAAGGGGCAGGGCATGGCGAGAGTCTCAATCTCCGATCTTTCGACCGAAAGAGAGACTCCCCCCTAGAACGCCCTAAAGCGCCCCGGATCCGAGCTCCTCTCATCTGAGGGGCTCGTTCGGGTCTCCGCTTGCGCGGATTCCCTCCTCCACCGCGGGCGGGCAAGGCGCCCTCGGAAGCAACCCGAGGATGCGTCTGCCTTTTGCGGGAGCCAGACCGGAAGCCAGCTGTGGACCTATTTTTGATGAATTTGTCTAATCTCCTTTCAAAACCACTTAAGCCCACAGCTGACACCACCAAATTCTGTACAATAATCGTACATGTGAAGAAGTACTTCTTTGTCGGCCTGTCTGCACTACTGTTCCTAACTGGGTGACTCCCCCAACTTCGAGTCTTTTGAGGCGGAGAAGAAATTCTCTCCATTTGCTTCCACCTCCAACCCATCTATCATCCATCAACTTCACCACGGGTAATCGTGAATTCTAGCATTATCACTGAGGGAGAAAAAGCCCTGTCCTCTTTCTTCACACTGTGCATAATTTTATAATCCTCGACCCTGCCTTCCTTTTGCTTTGTTTTCCAAACTGAGAAGTCCCGAAACAGTTTTGATGGACAGAGAAGGAAGCGTGGAGCAGAGACTTTCCGGAGCTGGCCTGAGATTCAAGCTATGTTGTTTCCTGAGTCTGCCCAATGTCAGACCAGAGATAAGCTGAACTTAACTCTCAGGTGTGTGGGGGACTAGGGCTGCCAACCTCCAGGTAGCACCTGGAGATCTCCCACTATTACAATTGATCTTCAGACTACAGAGATCAGTTCCCCTGGAGAAAATGGCTCCTCTAGAGGGTGGACTCCATGGCATTATATCCCCCTGAGGTCTTTCCACTCCCCAAACCCCACCCTCTCCAGCCTCCCCCCCAAAAAATCTCCAGGTAATACCCAGAGCTGGCAACCCCAATTTAAAAAAAAGGTCTGTGTGGCATACACAGAGAGAGGAGGCCGAACCATCCATGTGCACCTTTTTCTCAACCTGAAATGGACCCCAAGAGCTGCCGTTTGCCCCGACTGGGGAAACTGGGATGTATCGATGGGCTACACGCCCAACAAAGCTGAGGCCAGCAAAGCTCGAAAGACAGAGGGAGGGAGCGGTCCGCCGTGGCCCTCTCACTTGGAAAAGCAAGGAGCACTCCACCTCATGACGAGGCACATCCCTCCTGTTTTGTTTTGAGAGTGGCTTTTAAATGTTAAGACTTATTAGCGGCTGTTGTCAAATTGCCGCTTTCCCAGGGCCCCATCAACACCGAGCACCTTAATGTTAATTGGACACATTGTCTCCGGTTTTGAAGAGAGCGCCTTGATTAGCTTCAACAGCTCTCAGCCAGACAGGAGGGAAGGGGCCCCCTCCTCCCTGCCTCAGGCCCCCCTGGGATCCGGAGCAATTCACACCGGGAGTCTTCCTGTTGTCTTCAGCTCCTCAAATATAGCATGTCGTGTGCGTCCCTTGAATAGCCCGGCCATGATGCACGGATGCTCCCAGAATGCCTCGGAGAGCCCAAACTCTTTTGGTCTCTTATCCAGCAGCTATCAGTGGAATATCCTTTCAATAGCTCGATGTCCGCTTTAAAATATCATAACTAGGGCTGCCAAGTGGGGGCGGGGGGCGGGTAACCCCCCGCTTTGGAGGCCCGATTTCTGAGGCCGCGGAATTGGGCCCCGGGGGGAACCCCACCCCTGCGTGCGCGTCACCAGGAAGTGATGTGGGCACGCCGGGCACGCTGGTTTTCCCTTGTATGGCCATGGCCCTGCCCCCAGCATGCCTGGCGTCCTCCCGTCACTTCCGGGTTATGTGCGTGCGGCGCGCGTGCGTGAAGCACGCACGCACCGGACGCCGGCCGGGAGCCCCCCGCTCCCGGCAAAGATACACTTGGCAACCCTAAAGTTGGAGTCTGGTGGCACCTTTAAGATCAACAAAGTCTGGTTCAGGGTATAAGTGGGCATGCACATGAAAGCTTATACCCAGATTAAAACTGTGTTGGCACATGCAACAAGCCCCACCCCCTGCTCCCAGCAGCCCTCCGTCAGAGCAAGAAGCAGCCAGGTAAGCTGCAGAGCCCCCCCCCCAGCCCCCCGGTCCAAAACAGTCCAGTGGCACCTTTAAGACCTGGACTCAAACTTTGTTCGGCTGCTTCAGACCAACATGGCTTCCCACGTGCATTCCGAGTGCTCGGGTTCACTCTCGTTCACAATAACCAATGGAGCCTCTATGTTCCAAAGCAGCCCACTAAGTTCAGAAAACCAGGTGGGGAAAGACGAGAGCACAGAGAGGCTTTGGTCCTCAGTTCTCTGCTTGTCAAACTTCTAAAAATATTTAGTTGGCCACTGTGGGAAACAAGATACTGGAGAGGATAGTTTTTTAATTATTACTGTTCTGAGTGTGGATAGATGGGGGGCGGGCATTTGATATTTAAAGGAGGGAGCTCTGAACGCACACCAAACTGCCTTATACCAAGGCAGACCTTGGGTCTATCGGGGTCAGAACTGTCTATTTGGACTAGCAGCGGCTCTCAGCAGGCCTTAGGTAGAGGTGTTTCACTTCCCCTCTTTCTTGTTGTTCAGTCGCACAGTCGAGTCCGACTCTTCGTGACCCCATGGACCACATCACGCCAGGCCCTGCTGTCTTCTGTTGTACTCCGGAGTTTGCTTAATTTCATGTTCGTTACCTCGATAACACGGTCTAACCATCTCATCCTTTGCCATCCCCGTCTTCTTTTACCTTCAATCTTTCCCAGCATCAGGGTCTTCTTCAGTGAGTGCTCCCTTCTCATTTGGTGGCCAACTTAATCCTTTTTAAACTGGAGATGTCAGAGGCAAGAACCCAGGACCTTCTGCATGCCAAGCGGATGCTCTAGCATTGAGCCACAGCCCTCCCTCCCCACCCCAAATCATACAGAGTGGGTCTCCCAGGTGCTCAATGCCACAGGGCTGCATATGGGTCCTCAGTGTTGACAGCTCCAGGTGGGGCCTGGAGATCTCACAGAATTACAACTGATGCTCACCTGATAGAGGTCAGTTCCCCTGGAGAAAAAATGGCTGCTCTGGAAGGTGGACTCTATGGCATTTTACCCAGCTGGGGTCCCTCCCCTCCCTAAACCCCACCCTCCCCAGAGCCCACCCCCAAATTTCTAGAAATTTCTCAACCCAAACTTGACCACCCTAGAAGACATTCCACACAGTGTTACTCTTAAGAAGGAATCCTAGCATTACGAACAGGCACAAACTCACACAGAGCTGCCTTATCCTGAATCAGACCCATGGTCCATCAAGGTCAGTATTGTCTATTGAGACTGGCAGTGCCTCTCCAGGGTCTCTCAGGCGGAGGAGGAGATTGGATTTATATCCCGCCCCTCACTCACTACCCGAAGGAGTCTCACAGCAGCTTACAATCCCTTCCCCTCTCCACAACAGACACCCTGTGAGGTAGGGGGGCTGAGGGAGCTCTCTCAAGAACTGCCCTTGAGAGAACAGCTCTGAAAGAACTTGTGACTGACCCAAGGTCACACTGGCAGCTGCAAGTGGAGGAGTGGGGAATCAAACCCGGTTCTCCCAGATTAGAGTCCACACCAAACTGGCTCCAGAGGCCTTTCATATCCCCTCTTGCCAGGTCCTTTAACTAGAGGTGCCAGGGATTGAACCTGGGACCTTCTGCAGGCCAAGTCTTCCACTGGTCCCAAGCCCCTCCCCACCCTGGCTAGGCCAGGACAAACCCTCCGGAGAGGCAGGGCGTGCTGCACCTTAGCCACAAATCCACCCAATCTCTCTCTCTTTCTCTCTCGCCCGACGCGTTCTCCCGCTGAGGTCTCCAGTCATTACTCTCTCCACTCCCTCATTACCCGAATGCGCCATTATACTTTCGCTCACTTTAAAATGATCTCTTATTATCTCTCCATGGAAATTGCCCTAGCAACAAGCGCCTTCCTTCAATATCTATCAAGCCGAAGAAAGCCATTAAAGAAATTGCCGCGCGCAGCACGGACACCCTCCCACCCAGCTCCGCTCTCCATCTCCCCCCCACCCACCCCCAGCAGGTAGGAACGAGGTAATTTGCAACGCCGCTCTAGCGCCATCTACAGGTCGCCGGCGGAAGGTTCGGCAAGCCGCCCAACTCGTCGTCGTTATTGCCAAAGCCAGACCCGACGACGCACGATAGAGACGCGTGCGGCGGCTCCACCGCTCCAGCCGCGGCCTCGTCTTCCCCGGGAGCGCCCGCGTCACCTTCCAGAGGCTGCCAGGATTTAAGGAACGCGGAGCAGGCCGGCATCAACAATTCAGGAGCCAGCGGACAATGTGCAGACTGAGCCAATGCTTAGCAATCACACGGTGTTTTGGAAGGAAGTTGAGAGTTATTTTGAGCAGCAGACAAACCTTTCCTGTTTGGTTTCTCTGACATCGGCAGGAGAGGCCTCTTCACTTCGCTGGCGTTCCCGATTCGTTTGCTTCTTTTAGGGCCTTTTACACCATTTGAATGTAATGTGCCTTTCTGGGGGGAAATATACCGAAGAAGCTGCAGTGTTTAAAAGAGGGTACTGGGTTTGACATGGAAGCTTTCCAGTCATTAAACTCAAACATTTCTTGCAGTAGAAGAGATGGGGTGGGTGGAGTCAGGAGAGAGCAAGGGATAAGAAACGGGTTTCTAAGCTGTCCCAATTAAAACCAGTTTAAAGAAAAATGAGTGGAAATAATGAACACTGTGAAAACAAAGCGTTTGAAACAAACAGTTCAGAAAATGCTGCACAACTCCTGACTGTGCTCTTTGGTATCCTACTTACTTGACCCCCATATGGTGGCCAACTCTGGGTTGGGGAATCCCTGGAGTTTTGAGGGTAGAATGTGTGTGTGTGTTTGGGGGGGGGTGGCTTCAGCAGCCATGTTGTCCCATAAAGCCCTCCCTTCAGAGTTCCCATTTCTCCCAAGGGAACTGATCTCTGTAACCTGGATATCAGTTGTAATGCCAGGAGATCTCCAGGCCCCGCCTTGAGGCTGGCAACCCTATCCCCCAGGCACCCCTCCACAAATTGGCCTAAACCTCTTACCTTATGCAAGTCCATCTATGCATCTCCCTCCGCCAAGCTGCTTAAATAAACGCTCCTGAGTTGAGAACAAGGAAAAAACAATAAGACCCCAGCAGAGTCACCAGCTCCTTGTTGGGAAATTCCTGGAGATGTAAAGGTGGAGCCTGGGGAGGGTGAGAGTTAGGGTTGGGGGGGGAGAGACCCCCACCAGCAGTGCTCCCTCTGAGCGGTGGAGTCCTGTGAGCAAGAATCCTACTTTGTGAACTACTGGCATTAAAGCCGCGAGCGAGCGATTTGGCCGCTACATGAGTTAGTTCCCGAGCGGAGACAAAAAATGTGTGAGACAGAGGCTAAAAACCCATGAGCTGGCTCACACTGACTCAGCTTAGGGGGAACACTGCCCACGAGGGTATCAGTGCTATAAAGTCTACCCTCCAAAGCTGCCATTTCCACCAGGGGAAGTGATTTCTGTCATCTGGAGATCACTTGTCATTCCGGGAGATCTCCAGGCCTCACCTGGAAGTTGACAAGCCTAGCACCCAGCCGTAGCCTCAGGGAGGGGCAGGTGGATATTCAGAATTCAGTGGAGGGGGTTAGTGCAGGGCGATTCCCTCTTTCTCTGCACTGCTCTGAAGGAAGAACATGGGGGACCTTTTCCCCTTAGATTAATGGCCCGATGAAAGTGAAGACAGGCTAAAAGCAATGAACCCGGCCTGTGTAATTCACTGCCGTGGGAGACGGGGGTGTGATCGACTTCGGCTGGGGTAAGGAAGGTGCTCTATAATTTTTCGGCCATTAAGAGCGTGTCATTATGCCTGGTGGAGGATGGAGGGCCTGCGGTTTCTCACTTCGCCGTCTTCAGCAGGCCCATCGCGGCAGCCGGGGGGCGACAGCTTGTGTCCCCCGTCCCCCCCCCCCCCCCATTTCACCCACACGGACTGCTTGGCCGGAGAGTCGCAACCCCACCCCAAGGTCTGCAGATGGGCAATCAGTGGCTCAGAGCGGCAGACGACACACATTATTGGCCTAATGGGCGTAATTGAAAAGGAGATTTGAAAGATAAGAGACGCTGGGAGAATGCCAGATCAGATCCTGCTGGGGTGACGGATGGAGCTCGTGTGGCTCCTTCTGAGTCGGTTCAGATGGGGGAATTCAGATAAGCACCGTACCTGTGCAGTTCTGCCAGCTAAAACCGTCCACATAGGGCTGCTAGCTGGCTATACAAGAAATAGAAGATATGCCCTCACCTGGATAGCCCCGGCAAGCCCGATCTCGTCAGATCTCGGAAACTAAGCAGGGCCGACCCCGGCAAGTATATTTGGATGGGAGATCTCCAGAGAATACCAGGGCCGGGAGGCAGAGGCAGGCTATCAAGCCACTTCTCTGAGCATCCTCCGTGCCCCAGTAAGAGTCGCCAGAGGCCACCATGACTTCTAAGCACGGGCACACACACACAAATGCAAAAATACCAAAGACAGAGAGAGAAAGAGATAGAAGATAAAACCCTTCTCAGAACCACTTTTCTTTCAAAAGAAAAAGAGTAGAAAGTCGAGAGGAAGGGAGCCAGAAAGCCGGGTTCAAATCCTCATTCATGCCATGGAAGCTCGCTGGGCGACCTTTGGCCAGTCACACACTCTCAGCTTAACCTACCTCACAGGGTTGTTGTGAGGATAAAATGGAGGAGAGGAGAATGACGTAAGCTGCTTAGGGTCTCCATTGGGATGAAAGATGGGAGATAAAAGTTTTTTAAAAAATTAAAATGTGGACATGACAATTGTAGAGCAGTTCTATAACAGTTTATCTTTCATGAGTGGGAAGGGTTGTGCCTTGGTGAGTGGGGTTGCCAGCTTCCAGGTGGGGCCTGGAGACCTCCCCGAATTACAACTGATCTGCAGTCTGCAGCGCTCAGTCACTCTGAACGACCTGGCAGCTTTGGAGGGCGGGTCTATGACATCACATCACCTGCTGAGCTCCCACCGCAAAATCCGCCCTCCGCAGGCTCCACCCTCAGATCTCCAGGAATTTCCCAACTCAGAGTTGGCAACCCTACCTGTGCCAGAGGACCTGTTTTGCATGCAAGAAGACCCCAGATTCCATCCCTGGCATCTCTGTTTAGGTGCTGGGGAAGGCATTTCTCTACCAGAGAACGTGGCATCGGCAGAATTTCACTACACTGGCCAATGGTGTCGATTCATTTTACTTCATTTATAAGCCGCTTTTCTCCACCCCGTAATGCAGACCAAAAGGGGCTTACAATAGTCTCCCTTTCATCCACACATCAGCCCTGTGAGGTGGGTTAAGCTGAGAATGTGTGACCGGCCCAAGGTCACCCAGCAAGTTTCTGCAGCAGAGGAGGGTTTTGAACCTGGGTTTCTCAGATCCTAGTCCAGCTAGATTTGAGTCCCGTAGCACCTTGGAGACCAACCAGGTTTTTGGGGTAGGCCCCGACCTGGATAGCCAGTTTCATTTAATCTCGGGAACTAAGCAGGGTCGACTCTGGCAAGACCTCCTTGGAATATCAGCAGTTGGGAGGCCGGAACAGGCTTTATTCAACCATCTCTCGGAATATCCTCCAGGTCCCCAGTAAGGGTCAGTCACCAGAGGTCGCCATGACTTCCGGGTGCACACACACACATATGCATGTATAAAAAATACAAGGTTTTCAGGGTACAAGCTTTCAAGAGCCAAAGTGCCCTTTGTCAGGGCACTCACCACTATTCCGTGCTGGCTCTCAAAGCAGCTTCCTGTGTTCCTAGATAAAAATCCTGGTCAACAAATTAAAACTGGCCCCACATCTTTCAGCTCGGCATTAAATATGGTTTCCAGATTGGCAAAGATGGATCTAGGGCCAAGTACAGCTAGACCCACTCTAAGAATGTAATACATTTTATTCAAGTCTGGTAAATGAATTTAAACTCCCCCAGCTCTGCAAAGGATGACTGTACTAGGCCCTACTCTAGAGAAAGCTACAGTTTTTATCCCTCATGATGCATTTGATGTTGTACTAAAAAGGTAACGAGTTTAGCACATAAGAACGTCACTTTGAGAGCATGGCCTGAGGAGCAAATCAATCTTTCAGGGATGACTTGCTGGGGGCCTCCATTCCAGCTTTGTTCTTTTCGGCCTCCCCTGCTTCCTTGTCTCACGTATTCTGGTTTCTCACCACCCCGGGGCAAGATATGGCTCTTCTTGGAGCCGTTTGCTTTGCTGCTGGCAGACTGGCTGGCTAGACCAGCCTTCTGTCAACAGCTCTAGTGCCCATCTTTCCAAATGGCCATCCTCCAGCTCTCTTGATCTGTCACTGCCAAAGCTATCAATTGGCAAAGGATGTGGAGCCAAGAGCCGGAGGAAAGGAAAGCCAACAGAGCCAGGCATCTATAATGAACAAGCTTCAGAAAAGGAGGAAAGTCCACACAGGGTGAAGTTTGCAACTGATGCCTGCAGATGGGCTCCCAGAGTGTTTATGCCTAAGCAAGCAGGGGTGGGCAGGTGCCTGGTTCTCCAAGCGGCAGAAACCACCCCGTGTACCGCCCCTTTGCAACTGGCATTGTGAAAGTCAGAGGCGACAAAACAACAAAACTTTTTTTCTACCTCCCCTCTCCTTGGATGGTCAAAGCAGCTGCTTTTCCCTGTCAGGGATTCTTTTAAAGGATAGTCAACTGCCGGCTTTGGAGCACTATTTTGTTAGTTTAATTGATTTGGTTCATAAGTTTCTTCAAAGCATCTATCCACCATCCTGTCTGTTTCGAAAAGTGAAGCACGCGTTGATCGCTGAGACTGCACAGATTTTTTGTTACTGAAAACTTAGGAAGGAAGAGGTACATCGGGGGCAAATAGTTTAATGGAACCCCCTTAATTATCAGTTTTGTACACTGTTAACTACCTATTTGTACCTATCGCTTTCCTCATTCAGCTGACAGCTACTTCAACACCATTTTTAAACCCATGGCATTTTCCTGAACTGTTCCCAGCCAACCAGGGATCACACAAACAATGTCACTGCATCATTAATGATCACGTCATCATGTATCCAGTTAGATGTGGGGTATAGGATGTTGTCACATAGCCAAACGATAATAAGTAGAGGAAGTGTCACTCTCATGGTGAGTAGATCAGATATCACAACCAACTTGGAGCGAGGGCAGTCCTTCCTGCTA